GCATTACCTTAACGAGTTTTAAAACTTCCACTGTAATCTTTTACGTTAAAACGGTTTTATGGTCCTGGCAGAATGGCAATAAGCACGATTAAAAAGGTTAATGGGCACATGTAACGTACACTAAAATTTCAACAATGATTTAACGCGACTCTTTAATTGGAAAATGTTGCCCCTAAAGTCGTCACCCGACTTTTGCCTCTCGCCATGCATGTAATAGAATTAAAACGTTGGTCTAAATTTTAATTTCACTTACACGTCCACACCCACAAACAAATGAAGGCATTTCTTTTTTTTTTTTTTTCGAAACAAGTTTTAATAAAGACAAATGAAATAGACAAAAGAAAAACAAATTCTTTTCTGAAACAAGTTTTAATAAAAACAAATGAAATAGACAAAAGAAAAACAAAACGGAAAAGGCTCTTGTAATATAATATGAGAATTCATTTTAATTTTTATCCACTATAAATTTTCTCAGTGCGTCCTGACTTTCTGCCTTGTTTTATGGACTTATGTAATGCACCCGGCAAGGAAAACTTGCGTAGTAAATCACTCAATACAATCGTTCTACTATTTCTCTACTTTCTGTTAAGATAACTTAATGACGGGGACACAGGAATAAGTGAATTGCTAATACTTTATTACCTGAATACTGTCCTGTGCTGTATTAAAAACAAAAACAAAACAAGAGATAGCGATTTGTCACGACACGATGGTGTTTTGTTAATAAGGGACGACAACGCAGCACACGTGTCATTCCATTGGCAATACGCACCCTTTTTTTTAATACGACAATGTTTTACGGCAGTTGTTTTATGGTAATTCGGTAATTTGTAATATGGAAGAACTTCCCTTTGAGGACCGAATATGCGTAATTAGATTAGCGCTTATTAAAGAGCTTTAATAGGGTGAGGCCGGCGGACAGCAGACCCTCATGCTAGGAAGGGACTTGTGATAATAACATTATAAATAAACATTATCTATACAATCATGTTATTGGACGTTGTTTTCTTTGACAACAAGTGAATTTTAGGGGTGGTATCAAAGTGGTAACTGTAAAGGCCCTTGTTTAAATTTTGCCGCGAAATAAATTTCAACTAGACTCGGGTTAATGATGGCACAACCCCGTTCGCCACCCTCTAAAAACAAATAATATCTTCTGCGATCTTTCGGTGCAATGTGGATCTCGTTTTCAGGAAAATTGTCTGGTTTCTGTAACATGTTAGGTAATTGTTTCCTTCGGTTCTAGTCGCGAGCTCGTAATGCCATTGCAATTTCAAGCCAATGGCCGTTGTAATTGTTATTTGGGGGTGGAACTTTGCATGAAAATGGACTAGACCGCAAACGTTGTCCTCGTTTTCTGACAAGAAACGAACGCAAGAACTTGGCCATCTTATCTCATCCGGTAAATTACCCAAGAGAAATGCAAACTTCTGTCAAACTGCATGCAGCATTAGCTAATTCAAACCGAAATTTTGCTTTATTGGAATACATGGTAAAAGGTTTTGTCTCTTATTTGAAACCATTACAATATCATAATCATAAGGTCGTCCGTCCTAAGACAGGTTGGACACGTACTTCCATTTTTTTCTATCGTCAGCTATACTTCGCATTTCCCTAAAACTTGAACATCCTTAACTATTTGCGAACAGTAATTTAATCTAGGTCTATATATCCAATATCCATCCCTATAGTTGTTCTGTCATTAATAATGTTGATCGCCTCTTCTCTGAACGATTCTCGTTAAAATACATTCAGAAAATAAAGAATCATTATAAGAAAATTCAAACTGGATCGTTATCATAAAAATGATTAGACAAGAATGTGTGTTAAGATAGGATAGCATTCCAAATTCGTACCACCATCGCCACTGATAGGATCATCATAAGGTCGTCAGTCCTAAAACTGGTTGGACACGTACCTCCACTCCTTCTTATCCCGAGCTAAACTTCGCATTTTCCCTAAAACTAGAACAGCTCACATCCTTAACTATTTGCGAACAGTAATCTAATCTAGGTCTACCTCTACCCCTCCTAACTCCTGTTTCTGCCTCTAATATGTCTCTGACTAGACCTAGGAGTCTTGAGGAGTCCTACCAACCTATCTCGCTTATTTCTTGTTGACTTCTGTTCTCCTATTGATTCTAATACCTTTTAATTTCTAACCTTTTCTACCCACGGTATCCTCATCATTCTCCTGTAACACCACATTTCGAAGGCTTCTAACCTTTTGTTTTCCACCGCCTCCACCGTCCATGTTTCGCACCCATACAGCGCCTCGCTCCAAACATACTCCTTTAACAATCTTTTTCGAATTTCTAAAATTAGCCGTTCGCGAGCATACAAGTGACTTATTTTTATTGAAGACGACTAGACCCTACGCCATCCTCTACTTTATATCCCTACTACTCCTTCCGTCCTGACTTATCTGACTTCCTAGACACCTAAAATCAGCCACTTCTTCTACTTTTTCGTCTTTATATTCGCCCTTGCATACCAGTATACATAATGATGAAAAAAATTAGTCTTATTCTTGTACCATTTTTTCCAATTTCGCCGAATCTTATTGGAATAACGATCGGATAAATTTCCCGTTACGTATATGTCCACGGAGGGATGCCGTGGCGATTTTGATTTTGAGAGGGAAGACCAAGACTTACAGCCCCCACAGGAAATATTTCCCAGAGTCTATTTAGGGTCGCTGCCCGAGTACGCTTCCCATAAAATATGAATTGTTGCTCTCTCGGATGAACTTAATAATATCGAAACCGTCCGTGATTCAAGGAGACGATAAAGTTCGAGATCATGATCTTCCGCGTGTGATTCAATAATCCCGTTAAATTTTGAACAAACTTCCAACATTGTACAAAGATAAATACGACGCTATAACTCTATTAAACTTTACGTATCTATAAGCATTTAATATAAACCACGAATATTTTTAGCTGTAATCCAAGTTTTACTCCACAATATTTAAAGGACTCTATGTATTGTATAACTGAGAACATCGTTTAGCAATTTTCTTAAAAAAAAAAAACAAAAAAGAGTTGATTTCATATGTTCTGATTTTATTTTGTTTTTGATGCGAACATCCCGGAGCAGTTTTAGTTGGAAGCCAAAGGCATTAACGTTTGCCTTGAAGTCACCTGGGATATAAGTATCAATTTGCACCAATTGCACTCTTAACAGGTATGACCCGAACCCTGTCTGGTAATAAATTTGGAGATAACAGCTTGGACCGGCGCTTATTCCACGTGTGTAATTCTGCTAATTAGGGGCGGTTTTGCCAACGAATTCCACAATTACTTTAGCTCCATTACTGGAAAGATGAACAATCCCATAAAATGACCCTAAAATAAATTTTGTGTGGTTATTATGCCAGTTAATTTACTGGTCGAACATTAGAGCGTAAAGGTAGTAAATAATAACAAACGAAACAGTTGTGGGAAGAAATAATAACAATTGAACATCGAGATACATATTTTAGACAAATGACTGTTTTATGATTCTCATTAGACATTCTGATATTTATTTAAAAAAAATGAAAATAAAATTCTATGCTACCTGAAATTCACCTGTTGGAGGAAAGGCGACGTTTAATTAATTAAAAAATTAGGGCAACATGGCCCACCCTTGTTCCGGTAATTTGTTTCCGCAGCGGCACAACACAGGCCTTATTAATTTTTATGCTAATTTTTTTGACGTAGGGTTATCGACCGACTAATACCACTGCACATTACCATAAAGTGAAAAAATGATCACCCTAATGGATAATGTTCAGACTTGATTATGATGGTACACACCCTTAATACGAAACAAGGAGTTATGGGGTTAGTGACAAAGCATTCGTGCATTAAAAGAAAATTTAGTACTTAACTTTCGACAGGAGCGTACCTACAATGGAGAGTGCTAAAAAGGATCGTCATACAACCGGGCAAAACCACATTAAATGTAGTAAATATTAGTAAATATGATAAATTATTACAGAAAGATAATTCCCCATTAAAAAGATTATTTCTGATGTCTAATGTGAACAAACGAACTGATGGAAACAATCCACTATCAAAACATAAGAGAAGCTGTTTCAGTGATGACATTTTGTTCTTTTCTTTTGTTTATACTTCCCATCATTACTCTCCACTTCGTTAATGATGTTGTTTGTCGAAGAACACATGATGCCCAGTGCTTTTTCATTTATGTAATTGCCGAAAGAAGGGAGCGCGTTATGTCACAATCAGGATGGACAAAAGGGCGGATTAAGCCTACTTATAGCCCATTATGTTTTCCCCGTGGCAACAAAAATGCCTTTGTTACTGCGTGATTATTCTTTCTGATTATATTTTATAGGTAACTGTAGGCAGGTACATAAAATATATTATGAAAGTAATAGACATTTTTATCTACTGGATCATGCAATTGTTCGTTACGTTTTTGTTTAAGTTCGTAAATAATTTCGAAATAAATCGTTTAGTCAGTTCTGCTTGTTCTTTAGCTTTTGTTTTTAACGAAGTTTTTTTCTGTGTGTGATTTATGGCTTTTTTAAAAGATAAGGAATTCGGTCCGGCTTACCATTGGTTATACTAATAGGCAAAAAATAGATCTAACGCAACTGCTCGCAAGACAGCGTTCAGGACACGGAAAGGACATTCGCCGAGAGTTGATAAACATGTTGCAATATTAAACGTATAATTGAGATTTTCAGTTGTTTGTCGAGAACGGTAATATCAAGCCGAATTTATTTGAATCGGGTTGTCGCGTTGAGTGTGTGTGTGTGTGTGTGTGTGTGCTAATTAAAACTGTACAAATATTTGTTTCAAAAGGTGAGCAATTATGTTAGTCGTTGATTTTTGAAGGCAAATTAATATAAAACGTCGAGTTTTGATTTCAGTTTAATAAATAATGTTTCATATTTGTTCGCTTTTTTGATGATATTTTATGTATAAGTTTAATTAAATGTTTCCCTAATCAATTTTTAATAATTTGGTATCGAATCGTTCGTTCCAGATGCTGATAAGATGGTCCGTATTAGGCAGCCTGCGTGCGCAGAGGGCTTCGCTCAACTGTTCCAGAATCAAGGCAAGTTATTTAGATCTTTTGTTTTAGTAACTGTTTTTATGTATTGCTTTTGTTTTTTTAACAATGTACATGTCAATTAAAAATGTTTACGCTGTAACTTGAAAACGTGCAGTATTGTATCTAGGTACATAAGCGAACCGTTTTGCTCGTTAAACAAATTAACTGAAACTTTGTTCGTCGAGTAGGAAATGTGAATTGTGCTTTTCCATCCAAAGCTCGTATTTCTTTATTTGAATCGTCTGAAAGATTTACATGGCCAGAAGTTTTATTAAATGTTTTCCTTTCAATTAGTGTGCGAGAGCGTCTCGAAAGCTGGAAAACTGACTGCTCCAGGGACGCATTTGCTACATTAACTGATTAGTTTATTATTGAGTTAAATAACGAGCGCTTTGCTTGTAGTTTTCGGGTGTGGAAAGCTCCTATCATTTTCAGTAATGTGATAAACCTGATCGATGTTATTCTAGATAAGTTTTGCTGCTAGATTAAACTTTTAGGCACCAATAATCCAACAGTAGATTTCCACTTAACTCTTTATTAGATAATATTAAATTTCCACAAACTAAATATTTTCGATAATTTTCTTTTTAAAAATCTAATGACTTAAATAAACAAGGAAAACTTTTTGTGTTTTATTAAGGATTTTGGTAATTTATTAATTATTTTGCGGCGACTTCTTCAACCAGTAAACAATTAAAAAATAACCAATACATAATTTAGAGAAGTAGTCCAGATTATTCTTGAAAATCTCCTCTAATATGTCTGCAAAGTTCGATTGAAACAGGTCAAGCCGTTTCGAAAATTAATCCGTTTGAATTTAAAAATGGCAATTGTTTTTTGATATTAGATACAGGTATATAATATATGTGTACATACAGGTGCAGTAATGAGCTAATAATTGATTTGAAATCCTTTTTGCCAGTTGTTTATATAAACAAGTGTGAGTGATGGTAAAAGGTGCTGGGGTTGGAAAACAGTTAGAGGAAATATGTTTTCCCCGCGAAAATTTGTGGTCGAAACGATAAGTATATCGTGGGTTGTTTTGGAGTGACTCCAATTCGGATTTGAAAAACACCTTATTTACTACACACGACGATAACGGCGGGCGCCCTATTTCATCGCAACCCCTCACCCCCCCATTCCGAGCCATAAACAATTACTGTGCATCCTTTAAAAATGTACAAACATTTTACTGCACCCAGACACATATACAGACACACACCGAAAGCAGTCCATTAGTGTAATAATAAATTATTTAAACGTTCCGTATTTTTGTCTGAATGTTTTGCATACCTACCCATGTATACACTATACATATAGCTGGTCGTCTGGAGTTTCCAATGCATTAATGCATATCTTGGGCGGAAGTTGTACCATGTACTTACCTTTTAAAAATTCCGGCCAACTTCCAGAGAGAACTTTAAGAAAGAGCCTCCGGTTCGCGGCTGGAAAATTAGCATTACAAACTTGGATAAGGCAAATTGGTCGCGGAAACTTTAAAAATTTATTATAATAGACTTCCTGATGGGCAAAATAAAAAAAAATATCCAACCGCATGATATGCAACAGGCACAACTGTTTTGTTTATTGATAAAAACTGACTTTTGGAATTTAATTTTTATTCATGCAAAATGCTGTCTCCAAATGAATAATTGTTACCTTTTATTAAATAATTAATAAGCAATCAGTAATGGGACTTTCTTCTAAAAGTCCTGGAGAAATCTTTTTTACAACTTTTTCGTACTATTTGTTTTAATAAACTATGTAATTTGTAACAGTATCTATATGTAAGTAAGTAGAAGAGATAATAACAATTTTATTTAACCTAAGCGACAACCGACGTTTCGCATTTCGAATAATCACCAGTGACTTTAAAATTCACATTGGGAAAGACTTGTTCTAAATGGCGAAACGTCGACTGCGGGTTATTCTTTTGTTTATTTAAATTTTTCACACTTTGCTACATGTTCTATTAAAAACAGGATAATAGGTACTACAACTGTATTTCAATAGGTAGGAAGGCACAATTTATGAAAAGTTGATTCTTAATAATTTTCTTTTATAAAATTAAATTAGTAAGTACATATTTTGATCCTTTGGCTTTTAAAATCCACAAAACATGAAACCTGTGTGTTTATACTTTTTTTATTTCGTAATTTGTAAACTTCAACTTCAGCAGTTTTCCTTTGCCTTTAAAAGGATTTCGACGCTCCTATGGTATCCTTCATTTGTATGCAATTTCGGGGTACATTTTCCTGATGTTGTGGATAAAATTTGCACAGGTGATGTACCTATTGTCAAATTGAGACGAATTTTCTAAGATATAATAACTACAGACAACCGAAAAAGTTTCCAATTAATGACGACACCTAAAGGGTCGAAACGTATCTTAACTATTTATATTTAGATGATGAAATTTAATTGAAATTTATACACGTAATGAAATACAGACGTATAAACCGTATTCCTGGTGAAATCTATATTAGCGGGTTTCGTCATTGATTTGGGTCCTGGTGGTGGTGGTGTTTTGGGGGAGAGAACAATATTGCGTGCTATAAATAAAATATCGTTCCTCCCGCTAATGAAACTACCATCATTAATGCGTTCTCTTGACATCTGGTAATTAATTTAGCTTGGTCATGTACTAATAATAATTTAAAACAGCCGACATGTCATCAACGGAGGCGCTGTAAAATAGAATATCCAAATAAACATATATTATTATTTACTCTGAATAGATACTCAACAAAAACGAGCTCAATATCGAAAAATAAAAAAAATACTACGCCATTATTTACTTAGGGGTTGTTAGTTTTCGACTGTGTTTATGAATTTACCAAATTTAAATTGTGAATTTTAACTGCTGAAAAGAATACACTTTGCTTTTGTTTTTTTTTTATTCTACACCCATCAGATGTTCAAAATCAAAAAAAAAATTGAAAGTAGATATAGCACCTACCTATCGTATGTCTTTTCGCAATTCAACGTAGTTTTTTACGTAGGTATTTCACGACAGGTCCGCGTGACAAGAGATTCCAATTTTCTTTCTTGTGTGGGATTTGTATAAGGGAGGGGTTGCTCCGGGGTTAGTGACTTTAGAAGCTTCGGATCGAATGACATTTGATTATAATCGGCGTTCGGACAGGTTGGGGGTAGTAAAAGTGCTCGAAATTATTCCGTATGGCTTAAGCGCCCGTTGACAATATCATTTTCCGTTCGTTAGCGTCTTTTCACCCGCTTACGCCACGGGGAGTTAAGACCGACTGAGATTATGGTAACAGAATAAGGAAGAAAAGGCACTAACGAATACACCCGGTTCCCAATCGACTCTTATTAAGCACAAAATACTCCTGATTGCAATCTATCCTACACTCTCCATTTACGTAACATAAAAGAATTTCAATCCAGAGCTTAATTAATTGAATCTTGCATGCATTTGCTTCATAATGATCGTATTTTGTTTATTGATGGTAAATGTAGAAAAAGGCCGGAACAACAAAAGAATTCAGGTCAGATTCTTTTGTTCGTTGTATTTTTGTTTTTCCTTTTGTTCTGACAGCTATTGTTTTCCAGCAAGATCTTTTCCATATTATAAATTTTGCATTTGTTTTTCCGTAAGGTTTTGTTTTTAATTGAGATGCTTCCGGTGCATAATCAAATAGTTTGGGGAAATTACGGTTGCATAACGCACTTACCTACCGATGAAATTGGAATGGGGGTGGTGGTAAGGGGCTGGTAATGGTGATTATAAGTGAGAGTTTGCGTTCAGACGGGTGCATAATGGAATTATTAGTACGAGCCATTTCTAGTTTCAAATTAGCCGAAAAGCTTCGTAACTTGCATTTCATACTCAAATGATAAATGCACGCTTCGCAGATGTTAGAATAGACCGCATTAGCCTAATTTGTTGACCCAAAACGCACCACCACCACCACCACGGGTTTTGTTTATGATTAATATGGATGTATGCATTTCATGTGGGCAATCGGTACTAATTACATGCAGCGAAGGTAATACAAATAGATTTACCTGAAACCAATCCCTTTCAACCATTCCTAAATGATCCTTAAACATTTTTATTTATATATATACTTTAGTCAAAAAAGGACCGAATAATGATGCATTTGTTAATAGTTGAGCGTTACCAATTCGCGTAATCAATTGTTTTTTATTATTGTCTGATAGTTTTTTGTTTACGTCGTTACGAATATGCATTTGTTATAAGTTGAGAGTCAAATATCAGTTGTTTTTCGTTGTTTCTTGGTTGTGAATATCTATTATGAGGTATGTTAGGGAACACTAATAACAAAAATACAACTAAACAATTATTTGGCACATATTGAGCGTGTACACGTTTCAAGTGTGTTTTGTGAAATATGTTGGCGCACCATCATCGGGGGCGAGTTTTGGCTTCGGCATTTGCTACAACAGTTGCTTCATAAGATGCATTACGGTAATTAGTTAGTCGAAAATACTATGTTGCTTGTTTGCGATTAATAACAGAGAGAGAGATACGGGGCCTGAAGCTGAAATTAATTTCGTGGAATGGTGTCGCATAAGGGCGGCAATTAATGATAATTATCATATATTATTCGATCCCGTGGGACGAACGGGCGGACACCGAACCTCCAGAGAGCTGCACCGTTTTTTGTTCGTGTGAAACTGACGAAAGAAAGCAACCGGGATGAATACTTATTGTCATCGTTTTGTGCAATTGTTTTTGCGGATTAAAAACATCTGAAGGTGGTCACTTCTTTAAGAAATATAATTTTAAGGGTATTTGTTGTTCGGTGAGTACTTCGCCTTATTCATCAGCTCGTTTCTAGTCGACCATTCATCGAAGAGATTTCTATTCAGTGCGGACGTCCCTAGGGAGTGATCGATCTGATATTTTAAAAACACCTTCGTTCTTAACGCAGAAAACTTTTCTCCCTCGTCGTTAATGCACAAGACGAGGGGTTAAAGTGGCG